AGGCTTCACCTGTAATTGGAAGGCACTATTTTCCATTTTTTTTGGTGAGATGAATCCCACATACAGAAAAGCACTAATTGGATTAATCTAGGAAAAACAGGGTTATAGAAAGAAAACTTGAGTTACACCTAAGGAGAACTTGTTCAACATCCTGATTTCCCAGTTGGCTGGTATGCTCATCCCAGAATAGAAATGCCATAAATACTTGCCAATAATAAAGAGAAAGTTGAAATTGTCCCAGTAAGAGATAAATGCCTCAACAGCTGGAGCAAAGAAAATGGAGAGATAGGAGTGCTCATATCTTGTAGAAAAGAGATAACTAAAAGAATGAGAGAAAGGCCATTAAAGATGACTGAATTTTCCATTTGGGGTGACCATGTAGATGGTAAACCATTGAACCAAATGTGTAATGCCAGATGAGGAGCAAGTTTAGAAAAGAGCAAATGTGTTCACACCTATTAAAGATAGAGTACCTTTGGCAACAATGTCATTTGGCAATGTTGCAAATCAGGAGCTTACCAGTGAGATCTTTCTGTTACAAAAATGTTGCTACTAAGTGTTTTAGAGGTAAGTTTGTAAGCTATTAAGTTACTGGTCACATTTTGATCTGCTCCCACATGTGCGAAGTGAGGAATAAAGATTATTCATTGCAGTAAGGTTTGTAATACCAAAGTATTTAAAAAAAAAAACACTTTAAATGTGGGACTTCCCTGGTGGTCCAGTGGCTCAGACTCCTCACTCCCAATACAGCAGGTCCGGGTTCGATCCCTGGTCAGAGAACTAGATCTCACCAGACACAACTAAGTATTTGCATGCTGCAGCTAAAGATCCTGCTTGCCATCACAGCCAAATAAATAATAAATAAACAAATATTTAAAACAAAACACCTTAAATTTCACTGATACACAAGGGTTTAAATGTCTGATCTCCACAACAGACAACACTGAAATACAAAGGATCATAAGAGACTACTACCAGCAGCTCTATGCCAATAAAATGGACAACTTGGAAGAAATGGACAAGTTCTTAGAGAAGTATGACTTTCCAAAACTGAACCAGGAAGAAATAGAAGATCTTAACAAACCCATCACAAGCAAGGAAATCGAAACTGTAATCAGAAATCTTCCAGCAAACAAAAGCCCAGGACCAGATGGCTTCACAGCTGAATTCTACCAAAAATTTAGAGAAGAGCTAACACCTATCTTACTCAAACTCTTCCAGAAAATTGCAGAAGAAGGTAAACTTCCAAACTCATTCTATGAGGCCACCATCACCCTAATTCCAAAACCAGACAAAGATGCCACAAAAAAAGAAAACTACAGGCCAATATCACTGATGAACATAGATGCAAAAATCCTTAACAAAATTCTAGCAAACAGAATCCAACAACATATTAAAAAAATCATACATCATGACCAAGTGGGCTTTATCCCAGGAATGCAAGGATTCTTTAATATCCGCAAATCAATCAATGTAATACACCACATTAACAAATTGAAAGATAAAAACCATATGATTATCTCAATAGATGCAGAAAAAGCCTTTGATAAAATTCAACATCCATTTATGATTAAAACTCTCCAGAAAGCAGGAATAGAAGGAACATACCTCAACATAATAAAAGCTATATATGACAAACCCACAGCAAGCATCACCCTCAATGGTGAAAAACTGAAAGCATTTCCCCTGAAATCAGGAACAAGACAAGGGTGCCCACTCTCACCACTACTATTCAACATAGTTTTGGAAGTGTTGGCCACAGCAATCAGAGCAGAAAAAGAAATAAAAGGAATCCAGATAGGAAAAGAAGAAGTGAAACTCTCGCTGTTTGCAGATGACATGATCCTCTACATAGAAAATCCTAAAGACTCTACCAGAAAATTACTAGAGCTAATCAACGAATACAGTAAAGTTGCAGGATATAAAATTAACACACAGAAATCTCTTGCATTCCTATACACTAACAATGAGAAAACAGAAAGAGAAATTAAGGAAACAATACCATTCACCATTGCAACAAAAAGAATAAAATACTTAGGAGTATATCTACCTAAAGAAACAAAAGACCTATACATAGAAAACTATAAAACACTGATGAAAGAAATCAAAGAGGACACAAACAGATGGAGAAATATACCGTGTTCATGGATTGGAAGAATCAATATTGTCAAAATGGCTATACTACCCAAAGCAATCTACAGATTCAATGCAATCCCTATCAAACTACCAACGGTATTTTTCACAGAACTAGAACGAATAATTTCACAATTTGTATGGAAATACAAAAAACCTCGAATAGCCAAAGTAATCCTGAGAAAGAAGAATGGAACTGGAGGAATCAATCTGCCTGACTTCAGACTATACTACAAAGCCACAGTCATCAAGACAGTATGGTACTGGCACAAAGACAGAAATATAGATCAATGGAACAGAATAGAAAGCCCAGAGATAAATCCACGAACCTATGGTCACCTTATCTTTGACAAAGGAGGCAAGGATATACAATGGAAAAAAGACAACCTCTTTAACAAGTGGTGCTGGGAAAACTGGTCAACCACGTGTAAAAGAATGAAACTAGAACACTTTCTAACACCAAACACAAAAATAAACTCAAGATGGAGTAAAGATCTAAATGTAAGACCAGAAACTATAAAACTCCTAGAGGAGAACATAGGCAAAACACTCTCCGACATAAATCACAGCAGGATCCTCTATGACCCACATCCCAGAATTTTAGAAATAAAAGCAAAAATAAACAAATGGGACCTAATGAAACTTAAAAGCTTTTGCACAACAAAGGAAACTATAAGCAAGGTGAAAAGACAGCCCTCAGATGGGGAGAAAATAATAGCAAACGAAGCAACAGACAAAGGATTAATCTCAAAAATATACAAGCAACTCCTCCAGCTCAACTCCAGAAAAATAAATGACCCAATCAAAAAATGGGCCAAAGAACTGAACAGACATTTCTCCAAGGAAGACATACAGATGGCTAACAAACACATGAAAAGATGCTCAATATCACTCATTATCAGAGAAATGCAAATCAAAACCACAATGAGGTACCATTACACGCCAGTCAGGATGGCTGCTATCCAAAAGTCTACAAGCAATAAATGCTGGAGAGGGTGTGGAGAAAAGGGAACCCTCTTACACTGTTGGTGGGAATGCAAATTAGTACAGCCACTATGGAAAACAGTGTGGAGATTTCTTAAAAAGCTGGAAATAGAACTGCCATATGACCCAGCAATCCCACTTCTGGGCATACACACTGAGGAAACCAGATCTGAAAGAGACACGTGCACCCCAATGTTCATCGCAGCACTGTTTATAATAGCCAGGACATGGAAGCAACCTAGATGCCCATCAGCAGATGAATGGATGAGGAAGCTGTGGTACATATACACCATGGAATATTACTCAGCCATTAAAAAGAATTCATTTGAATCAGTTCTAATGAGATGGATGAAACTGGAGCCCATTATACAGAGCGAAGTAAGCCAGAAAGATAAAGACCATTACAGTATACTAACACATATATATGGAATTTAGAAAGATGGTAACGATAACCCTATGTGCAAAACAGAAAAAGAGACTCCTATGTATAGAACAGACTTGTGGACTCTGGGAGAAGGCGAGGGTGGGATGTTTCAAGAGAACAGCATTGAAACATGTATATTATCTAGGGTGAAACAGATCACCAGCCCAGGTTGGGTGCATGAGACAAGTGCTGGGGCCTGGTGCACTGGGAAGACCCAGAGGGATTGGGTGGAGAGGGAGGTGGGAGGGGGGACTGGGATGGGGAATACATGTAAAAAAAAAAAAAAAAAAGATACACTATGGTTGTGATAAAAAATAAATAAATAAATAAATAAATAAAGAGAGAAAAAAAAAATGTCTGATCTCTAGAATGAAATAGAAAAGGTTGACTGAATTTAACTTTATAATATTTTAATCTATTCTACTATAGTCGTATTCATAGTAGACTCAAAAAATTTCAAGTGAGTAATCTAAAAATCATAAAACACCATAGTTGACCGGTATTTTAATTTAAGCAAGTTTGAGTATTAACTAAGTTCCATAAAATTCCTTTAAATGATGTCTAAGTCAATGAATACTTTGACAACCTTAGTTTTGTAATAATAAGTATGAGTGTTTTTATGTATATATCATTTTGGACTTTACAAACCATTTTCAATTTTTGATTACCATTGAATCCCAACAATCCTGTGAAATATGTAGAGCAAGTGGAAATCATCTGCCAAAAGTTGAAGTGAGAACTCTATTATTGTTATACCTCCAAGGCAAAGTTTCAAGATAAAAGATAGAGACAGTTTTATTCTCTCAAAAGAAAAGTTTATTTCCTCTGGTTCCTCAGGATGCAAGGCATTTAGTGACTTTGTTCCACTCCTAGTTTTTAAAAATGTAGCTTTCAAAATAAGCCACGCTAAAATAAGGCACAGTGGAAATCTTTCCAAAACCACATTTCATACAATTTCCCTATTCTCCACCAAAACCTATGACGGAAAAATATTATGTTCTAGCTTTCTGAGATAAATTCTAAAAATAAGCTAATGTATCACTCAGTGTGCAAGACATGCTTCAGGTTGGTCCTCAAATTCTTATAGATAACTTAAAGCAACATTTTACCAAAGCAAAAGAATGTAATACTGAAGCAAACTATCTCCACATGGATTTCCCTGGTGGTCCAGTTGTTGAGAATCCACTTGGCAGTGGAGGTGACAAGGGTTCGATCCCTGGTCCGGGAAGATTCCACATGCCATTCCACATGCAGCAATTAAGGCTAAGTGCCACAACTACTGAAACTGGTGCACTCTAGAGTCCCTGCTCACTGCAACTAGAAAAACCCTGCATGCAGCAACGAAAACCAGCACATCAAAACAGAATAAATGTTTAAAAATTCATTTTAAAAAAATAGTCTCCACAGATCACTCTACCAAGTTTCACAGGTGTCCCCAGCCCTTTAGGTATTCGCTTACCTCCAAAGACACAATGACGGATGGCTTCTTTTTCAGTTCCTCACATTTCCTCTTCTTACAGATCTGATGGCTGTTCTTTCTATTCTTACAGTAAGTACATTCACCGCAATTGGTCTTCTGCTGGCAGGGCTCGCAGACCCCACATCGCTTTCGTTTCTTCTTTTCCAAGGTAGGTAGCAGAGTTGTGTAGGAAGGAGAAGAGGTACTAGCAAGTGGCACTGGCCTAGACGCCACAGTGGGGTTGACATCAACCAAGCTGGTGGCACTGATCTGGGAGCTGCCTCCTTCCAATGTGCTGGGACTCACCAGCGAGAGTCGGGCGATGCCCTGTGGAGCTGGCTGGAGTCCTCTCTCGGGGGCTAATGTGAACCCCTGAGTATGAGCTGGCAGAAAGCTTATGTGAATCTTCTTCTCATTTTCTATATTGTTCATAGGTATTACAGGAGGTACCAAAATTATCTCTGAGTTTGATGATGGTTGAGGAGTGTGACCTGAGCCCGAAGGCAAAATCTGCATAGTGCTCGGGACCTCAAGCCCAGATGAAACAGTGCCCTGGAGCTCGGGCCATGCTGGGAGAGCATTACAGGTAGCGACTGGGTTAAGAGGGGCAGGAAGAAAGACAGGCGGGTCTGAGGCAGTACCACTACCCATACCAAGGACTTGTTGATTTAAGATAGCACCAAAGACCTCTCCTTGGACTGGAATAGCACCAAGAATCTCTGGTGGGTCTAGGGTCTCACCCAAAGGCTCTCCATGAACTGGGTTAGCACCAGGAACTTCCCATTGATGTGGGACAGCACTCAAGGCCTGTGCTAGGACAGGGGTGGTATCAGGAACTTCCTGTTGATCTGGGGTAGCTTTGCGTACCTCTTGATGATCTGGTTTAGCACCAAGGGTTTCTTGTTCTGAACCTGCCAAGAGGAGTTTTATTAATGAGGTAGGATATATCGACCCACCAATAGACAAACAGTTTCTAAGGTCCAATGCAGGTACAACCTTATTAAAGCTGGAGGTGGGGCAGCAATCATGTTCACTTTTGATGGGATCCAGGTAAGAATCAGACAGCTTAAGAGATTCTACTCGTGAACCCAAATCTTCTAACTGAATGCTGGGGTTTCCTTCAGAGGTAACCTTGAGGGCTGCTCTTTGGAGCAAAGGAACACAGACAGTGTCCTGAGCAAACATTCTAGGGGAATCACTGATATCATTCAATGTCTGTCTAGAGAATAGTCCTTCTCCACCACATGTCCCTTCCAGTGACCCAGAAAGAATCTCTGCTGCAGGGTCACTAGGAGTAGAGCAAATAATTCTGGAATCCTCGACACCTTGGGACCAAGACTGGGTTGTCTTTTGGCTCTCGTCTTTAATGAAAGATGCATTTTGTATGCCAATTAGCTTCTCTATATCAGGGGGGATTGGGGGGTCTTGCATTGGGACTGAATCATTTTCTGAGTGCTTTACTCCTATGTCTGTAAGTACCTTATAATCACACTCATGTTGCTTTCCTAGATTCTTAGGTGGTGGAACTTTCTTGGGTCTGGCTATGACCACTGGGGGTTGGGAGAGTCGTCTGCTAAGAGAGGTGCTTCGCAGAGCCATTGTAAACCCATTGCAAGTTAAGGACTCTGGGTTCTGAAAAAGAACCTCGGTCCTATCCAAATTCATTCGTGCTGCTCCAGCTCTTGTCAGAAGGCTTCTGACTGGCACAGTCAGTTTGGGTTCTGTTTTTTTCTTAACATCTCTTTCTTGCACGAATTGCTTCAATTTTCCAGGGCTCACAGTCTTGACAGTCACCACATTTTTGTTGGCTGGCTTAGATCCCTTCTTCAGCTGATTGTTTTTCTTTTTGTTTAGATCTTCCCTCCTGACTAATTTGGAAGGTCTTGCGTGGCGAGATCGAGACATAGCTACGAAGTAGGAAAATCTGAAAGGGCACGAGGGACAGAGTCATTGGTCCTTTGGAAAGTCTCACTTCAGAGGAGAATCTGCATGCACCATGGTTGTGCTCAGTTGCACGAGGTTTTGGTCTGAAATAAAAAAGCATTGGCAGTGAGTCTTTTTTCTATGCATTCTCTCATTTGAAACAGAACAGAATGTTGGAATTTCCCTGGTGGTACAGTAAATAAGAATCTGCTTAGGGGACACAGGGTTGATCCCTGGTCTGGTAAGATTCCACATGCTTTGGAGCAACTAATCCCATGTACCACAACTACTGAGCCTGAATTCTAGAATCCATATGCCGCAACTATTGAGCCCGTGTACCTAGAGCCCATGATCCAAAATAAAAGAAGTCACCACAATGAGAAGCCTGTGCACTTCAAGAAGAGTATCCCCTGCTTGCTGAAACTAGAGAGAGCTTGTGAGTAGCAACAAAGACCCAGCATAACCAAAAAAATGTTTAAAAAAGAAATGGAATATTCACTAGCAATTATTAATTAAAATTAAGGAACTGAGAATATTTACTACAAAACAAAAGTATAATAGACACAAAACATACTAAAGTACCCTTTAAACCTTGGATTCACATAGAAAGCTCCTTTAACTTCTGTGACAATTGATTAAGTTAATGAAATTCTTTGAATAAGCTAAGCATGAGGGTTTCTTTAAATTAGAAGCCGCAACTATTGTAGTTACAAGTAGTTTAAAGCTCAAACCTAATCTTTATAAATGTGAATACTTAAAAGTTACCTTTCTCCCTCTCAGTTCCCCAACCAGGTGGCCAGGAAAGGAGCCAGGGCCACAGCAGTGAAAGCACGAAATCCTAACTACTGGACCACCAGGGAATTCCCCAAAAGTTATCTCTTACACCCTTTTCTCAGCCCATCACCACCCAAGCAGGGTATAATCTGTTGGACAGTAAAGCTGCTAAAGCCAGAGGAAGAAGAGGCTTACATTCTCCAAGAAACTCTACTCCTTGGAGATCCAATAGTATTAATAACATATTTCAGTTAACAACCTAAATTTTTCACATATGTTTCTAATAAGCAGCCATGTTTAAAAAACAAATCGACTATATGAGGATCTTTTATCTAGTTTGTTTCACTTTTTCTATTTCATATTCAGTGCTCCAATGGCAATCCACTCCAGTACTCTTGCCTGGAAAATCCCATGGACGGAGGAGCCTGGTAGGCTGCAGTCCATGGGGTCACTAAGACTGAACGCCTTCATTTTCACTTTTCACTTTCATGCACTGGAGAAAGCAATGGCAACCCACTCCAGTGTTCTTGCCTGGAGAATCCCAGGGATGGGGGAGCCTGGTGGGCTGCCGTCTATGGGGTCGCACAGAGTTGGATACGACTGAAGAGACTTAGCAGCAGCAGCAGCAGCTCCCATTTCACTTGGTTTATGTTTTCTAATTTCCAATTCCATCTCTTCTTTTTTTTAATATTCTTTTTCAAGCCTTTATCAAGCATAGTAGAAAAGCTCTTGTATGTATATATATATATATATATATATATATATTTATATATCTTTTAGAAAACTTATGAATTTTTGCCTAACTAAAAAATTTATAACATTGAGTCCAATTGTTTGACTTAGCATAAAAAGAATGCTAGATTTCTAATTTAAAAGAATACACATGAAAAACAAAACAAAAAATAAAAAAACAAGAATACACATGCAGCAAGCAACAAAAGTTTACTGTATAGCATAGGGAACTATAGCCAATATCATATAATAATCTGTAATGAAAAATAACTTCAAAAATAATATGTGTATACATATAACTGAACCATGAAAAAAGAATTCTACTTTTTGAAATTTAGTAATGTTTATATTTTTGCCAGTTTTTCTAAATGTTCTATGGACATCTAATAGCAACATATGAGGTACAAAATTTTAAATATATTTGTGTAGGATATAAGATTAATATTAATATAAATCTATTGTATTTAAATTATTAATGGCATCATTCAAGATGTTCCTCTTTTTTTTTCTGCACTTGATAAAAATATTCTGAGAAATGTTAATATGTCTTATTATGATTATATATATCTTTATTTTCCCTCTGATTTTTGCTTTATTTATCTTTGTTTCTTTGTTGTTAGGGGTCTAGTGGTTTACAGTGTTTATCTTCTTCGTGAATTGTACTTTTTATCATTAAAAATAAGTAAATTTAATTTAAAGAATCTACAAATTTTGAGTTTTACACATGCACACAGAAACAGCATAAATCTGGGGAGTTAGTATCACCAGATTAGGTTACAAATAAAACTCATGGGTCCATAAATATCTGAGTACCTCCTCAGTATAAGGAAGGCATTGTCCTGGGGACTGTCACACCCAGAAATGATGTCCCTCTTTCCTCCTTCACCCAACTTAATCCAAAGACTGCTGATTCTAGGTTCTCCTTGGTGGTCCAGTAGCTAAGACTCTGCACTGTCAATGCAGGGGGCCCACATTTGATTCCTAGTCAGAGAACTAAATCCCACATGCTGCAACTAAGAGTTGAAAAGCTACAACTAAAGATCCCACATGCTGCAACTAAGACCCGGTGCAGCCAAATAAGTAGATAAATATTAAACATCCAAAGAAACAAAGACTGCTGGTTCTAAAGCCCTTCTACCAAGGGTCCCAAAAATTTCAATGTGAATATCTAAGCAAGGAAATTGGAAATAAGGAGAAAATGAGATAATACAAACAGTAAAGAACAATAAATCAAGTAACTATTATTTGAAAGTTCAGAAAAAAGGAGAAAATGAAAGGGGACTGGCCAAGAGCCATCATCAAATTGCACTTTTGTCTCCTCAAATGGCCTGACCCTCACCCCAAAGAGATGGGAATACCAGACCACCTGACCTGCCACTTGAGAAATCTGTATGCAGGTCAGAAAGCAACAGTTAGAACTGGACATGGAACAGCAGACTGGTTCCAAATAGGAAAAGGAGTACATCAAGGCTGTATTTGTCACCAAAGTTATTTAATTTAGATGCAGAGTATATCATGAGAAATGCTGGGCTGGAGGAAGCACAAGCTGGAATCAAGATTGCCAGGAAAAATATCAATAACCTCAGATATGCAGATGACACCACCCTTATGGCCGAAAGTAAAGAGAAATTAAAGAGCCTCTTGATAAAAGTGAAAGAGGAGAGTGAAAAAGTTGGCTTAAAGCTCATCATTCAGAAAGCTAAGATCATGGCATCCGGTCCCATCACTTCATGGCAAATAGATGGAGAAACAGTGGAAACAGTGGCTGACTTTATTTTTCTGGGCTCCAAAATCACTACAGATGGTGACTGCAGCCATGAAATAAAAAGACACTTACCCCTTGGAAGGAAAGTTATGACCAACGTAGACAGCATATTAAAAAGCTGAGACATTACTTTACCAACAGAGGTCCGTCTAGTCAAGGCTATGGTTTTTCCAGTGGTCATGGATGGATGTGAGAGTTGGACTATAAAGAAAGCTGAGTGCCGAAGAATTGATGTTTTTGAACTGTGGTGTTGGAGAAGACTCTGAAGGGTCCTTTGGACTGCAAAGAGATCCAACCAGTCCATCCTAAAGGAGATCAATCCTGGGTGTTCATTGGCAGGACTGATGTTGAAGCTGAAACTCCAACACTTTGGCCACCTGATGTGAAGAACTGACTCATTTGGAAAGACCCTGATGCTGGGAAAGATTGATGGCGGGAGAAGGGGACGACAGAGGATGAGATGGTTGGATGGCATCACTGACTCAATGGACATGGATTTGGGTAAACTCTGGGAGTTGGTGATGGACAGGGAGGCCTGGCGTGCTGTGGTTCATGGGGTCACAAAGAGTCGGACACAACTGAGCAACTGAACTGAACTGAACCAAGTGATCATCAGTCTGTGGCAAAATGAGAAAAAAAAGAGGCTGAGTACACCTGAAACTAACACAACATTGTAAATCAACCAGTGAAAAAGTGAAAGTGTTGTTCTCTTTGTCGTGTCCCGACTCTGTGACCCCATGGACTGTAGCCTGCCAGGCTCCTCTATCCATGGAATTCTCCAGGCAATTATACTTGAGTGAGTTGCCATTTCCTTCTCCAGGGAATCTTCCCCCAGCTAAGGACTGAACCCAGGTCTTCTGCATTGCAGGCAGATTCTTTCCTATCTAAGCCACCAGGGAAACCCAAATCAACTATACTTCAATTTTAAAAATAAAGAAGTAAAAAAAAGCGTGTAAAGTTCTTCATAAGTCTGAATTAATTTAATTAATGTCTTCCTTTTTCTCTCATTAAAATATATAGAGAGAGCCTGCCTGCCAATGCAGGAGACAGGTTTGATCCCTGTTCTGGTAGGATCCCACATGCCTCGCAGCAGCTGAGCCTGTGTGCCACAACTATTGAGCCTGTGATCTAGGGCCCAAGAGCCACAACTACTGAACCCATGAGCAGCAGATACTGAAGCCTGTTCACCCTAGAGCCTGGGCTCCCCGACAAGAGAAGCCACAACAAGGAGAATCCCCAGCACCACAGCTAGAGAGCAGTCCCCCTTCCTACAACTAGAGAAAAAGCCAAACAGCAATGAAGACCCATTCTTAAATTCTTAAATAAATAAAATTTATTTAAATAAATAAAATTTAAATTTTGTTCTTAAATAAATGCACATTCTTAAATAAATAAAATTTATTTTAAAAGTAGAGAATTCCCTGGTGGTCCAGTGGTTAGGACAATGTACTTCCATTGCCAAGAGAAGATGTTGCATCCCTAGTCTAGGAGGTAAGATTCTGCAAGTTGCATGGCCAAAATAAAATTTTTTAAAGTAATAAAAGTCCTTTTTTATGAAAAGGTGAAGACGGGTTTCTTCTTTTCTTTTAAAATTATTACCTGGTACAGTAAAAATTAACAGTCCTCTACCATCCTCAAATTTTTGTTTTGTTTTGGTTGTACTTTTTTGATCCAGGTAATCCTGGGATACACTATTTGGTTTTGTGGCTAG